TTTGGCAACTGTTTCTTGAAGTTCCCTTTCTTGCCACAACAGATTAATAGCGCTATTCCTATTCCTATTGGCGTTTATTGAAGAGAGAATGTATTTTGCGTTCCCGTTCCTTTTTTTCGCGTTGCCGGTCTCGTTCGCAGGCTATTGTGGAGCGACTTGGCCTTTTACCTACTTTTCAAAAGGGTACCGCATCCCCTTTGGTTTCCTCGTATGAGGAAGAACTCGTCAAGTTAGTTTGTTTCATACCATATCGCATTTCGGTTGTTTACGAACCTCAAAACAGGCGGAACAACATAAATATGTTGCCAGCATAAACAATGTAGTTGATTCCAATAATAATAAGGAAACTTTCATTCACGAAAAACGTAGATAACAGTACCATATGATGTCAAAGTTAGAAAACAAAGTCTGATACGTAATCCAACATTTCATTCTCATTAACCATGTTAATGTCATTTGTAATTTTCCAGTGACATTTTTTTTCTTTTTTATGTTTTCTTCCTTTTTCTGACGTATTAATTGTTCAATTGCTTCATTAGATTCATTTATGATCAATTTCCGACGCATCTTTTTATCTTTCAAATGAATTTTTTATTACTCAAAGCACTGCAATTTTTTCACAGATACCAAGATTATAGCGTCCGGCGCCCTGAGCAATTCTTTATTGGCACTCGTGGATCGTGAAATATTGCACCATGAAATTAAAATAAAAGTAGGGAAATGCGACGTAGTATTTACTAAATAGTGTTACGACACACGGGAGGAAATATGGCATTGCTCGTTAGAAAGTCTAGCCTCGGCTCCTGACGCCTTGGCTGGAAACATCTCACTCGTAATGTAACATTTTGCCTCCTTATTTTGTAAATTTCTAAAAGCTTCCAAGATAACCCTTTACTTTCGAATATAGAGAACATGAAATAGAAAAGATCAAGTGCTCTTTTTAACTTTGTTCGTTCTTCTTGTTCACTCTAGTACTCTTGTAATAGCCAGATAGAGTAGGGGAAGTTTGTTATTTTGGAATTTAACTTTATTCAATATTCTTTGATTAATAGAACTGATTTCTTTGTACACCGTGGGTTGCTCCAAGGAGGAGAAAGAAGTGGCCGTGATCTTGCCTCAAAATATGCAGAATTAAAAAAAAAATATTTTAGGTAGATAACACACACAGTTCCGAACATCCTGCTACTGGTGTGACTCATGAATGGAAACTACTAGCTGTTTTCCTCCTCCCCCTCGCAAAATTCCTGGTCGAATTCAATTGTACTCTGCCTTCTGAAGCAGCCGAAATTGAAAGTGGATTATCTGAGAAGCAGGTGCAAGGGAAACCTGACCGCGGGATGCAATCGGGCGATTCCCGTGGAAGCAACCCTGAGGAAGTAAAGCGGCCCATACAGTGCTATTTCGGCTTTCAGAACTATATTCCAAGTCTGCACTACCCAGCACGTTACAAAAGAAAGAATTCTATGTTCATTGATGCCACATAATTGTCCACATAGAAAAGGTGGCATGAAGAACTTCTTTGGTCAATGCTTTACTTAAGTCAATGAGAAATAGTCGTAGGACACCTTTTTTTCTTCCAAGTGGAAAATACCGCGATTATCTCTCAACAAACATTTATCCCATCCACTGTTATAAGTTTTCGTGTTCTAGGCATACGGCAGGAAAACCTGATTGTCTTGACCCTCCATTAATTTGCATGATTTCGCCAAACATTAAATGAGCTCTGTTTTAAAACTGCTTTGGATTGCTAAGGTTTGTGGTGTTATTTCTGATTTCAATTATTTTAATCGGATGTACGAATATATCAAATCTATACAATTGAATTCCTTTGCATGAGCTATCAATGAAGATATAAATCATACTACATATTAAATTCCATTTTAGATTATCAGTCAGATGAAACAAACCTATATTTTAAAGGCCATCGAGACAGAGAATAAAAATTACAAGATCAAAGAGTAAATTGCGAACAATGCATTTTTGTACTCACTAATGGAGGACAATTGGTTCAACTTTAGATCAAAAGTAATAATTTGATGATACGCAATATTTTCGTATGATACGCAATATTTACAATAATATTACCGAACACTGATATCCAGTTATTGATTTCATTTTGTATAATTATTTCTTCAAATGATTAGCAGTATTTCATTATGTAAATGGAGATATATTCTCGTTGCGAGGGTCTTGTCTGCAGGATGTTTTCTACTACGTGCAGAGGCGTGGGTGGCGCGGTAGGCCGTGTGGACACAAGTGCGCCTGCGCCCTCTCCCTCACGTCCTGCCGGAGGACACCGCCCCAGTGCGCGTGCGCCAGAAATACGGAGAAGCGACACATTGTTACTTTGGCATTGACTGGCGGTGCCACACGTCTGCGCCGCGATTGATGTTGATCAGTTCGATAAATGAGAACATTTGCAATATATTTATTGTACTGTACTATCCAATACGGAGAGCATTAAAAGTGTATAAAAACTTCCAAAGTATTGGTTTTGACATAATGACCCATTGCGTTTAAGTACTACTCTTCACCTGATCTGTGGTCCGTAGCCACTTCTCTTGGCTACTATAATAGAGCGAGTTATATTACACCCACTATAAATATTAATAAAGAAAGAAAATATAAAATCAGATATTCAAAGAGGGTTCTCTCTACCTCCCTCTCACTCCCTCTCTCACTCTTTCTCTCCTTTTCTCTTCCTCTTCTTCTTACTTTCTCTCTCTGTGGCTCGTAAATCTAAAGATGAATCATCTAATCTTCTCTAAAGGTCTAAATTCTTCTGTGTTAAAGAATCGACATTCTCAAGTTAATTCAATGGTTGGCCTAGTAGCTGATGTTGCAAGGACACGTGATGTGGCATGAAGTAACAAACTCCATTTCCACCGGAAATTTTGCCACCTGCATCAACCAGTTCAGCGGTTTTCATAGGTGGCAGGGCTGCCGCTGCAATGGTCTCCAGTTGTAAACGAAGGTGACACAATGATGATGAACAACATTAGAATTTTGGAGCAGATCCATAATTTATGTTTGAGATTCCTTTAGACATTGCAAATCTGTGACATGTGACAACCGGTTTCCCAAAGGCAGGCGCGGAAGGGATTTTTTCGCTTTCAGAAACAGGCATTCTGAAAATCGCATAATTTCACCTTCTCCGCCCCATCCAGCTCCGCCACCGCCGAGTCAGACCTGCCACGCACCGCTCCGCCCTACTCCGCCCAGCTCCTATTCGATCCGCCTCGCTCCTCCGCGCTCCGCTCCGCCCCGCTCCGCTCCGCCCCGCTCCGCCGCGCCCGGCTCCGCCGCGCCCCGCCACGACCATAGCCTATCTGCCAGCCCCGACCGGCCCGCAATCTGTAATGCCCAGAAGCATTGCGGATTGCATCGAATCACTAATTGTAAAAAATTAAAAATGTACCTTCAGATGACAAAATTTGAAAAATAATTTCTTAGTACCTACGCATGTCACCAAGCAATTTTTATTTCAAATTTCACGCTTCAGTAGTTTGGTTTTCCGGTGATCTTTTAGTCGGTCATTTTAATTTCTTATAATATAGTAAGACTCACCATTGCATCATTAATGAACAACTTGATGTATCAATTTGAATTTAATATCAGTATTAACAACATACGTGTAACAACAATGTACGTGTAACAAGTTGTTAATACAACGTACCTTTTCTTTAACTCCAGAATATAATTCACCTACCCGCTACATATAGATACTCCCTCTTATACCATACGAGTACAACTATTTGTAAAACAAAACAAGAAGTTGTTGGCAACATTTAATAAAGGGATGTTTGTTTCGGGTGAAGAATAAACTATGGGAATCAATAATGAACCGTATACTTTATTGAATGGCACTGCTAACGCAATGAGCCATTTGGGTGTAAAGAATGCTATTTGACATTTCACGCTTTGAAGTAAAATGCAGTGTTATTTTCCTGTTTCGCTGATATATCCTAAAAATCCTCTCATCATTTCAAATTGGATGACTGAATTATCACTTTTATTTGTTGTATTTTTCTTAATTCATTTGGAATAAAAAAAGGGGGCCACGCCTTCTCTTTCATAAAAGCTAATAATCTCGACTTCATAGAAAATGTTAGAAACCCTTATTTACACCCGAACGTGCCAAATAACTAAACCCCGACTACTCCACACGCATTCAGCAAAACGAGAGGAGAAGAAAATGTTCTTTGTGTCCATTGAAAAATTATATAATATTTGAACTTCTTTTTTCTCCTTTTTCTCGTTTCTCCTTCTCTTTCGTTTTATTCTTCTTCGTTTTCTTCTTCTTCTCCTTTTCCTCTGATTCACATGCTTCTCCTTCCGTCGTCTACCTTCTCCTTTTATTCTGGTTGTTCTTTTTCTTATTTTCTCATCTGTCTTCTTACGTTCCTACTTTTCTTTGTTCTGAATTTGAGTTGTTTTATTTTCATGTTGAATGCGAAAGTGAATATGATTGTTCTCAGTTGGAAAGCCCACTGGCTGAGTTGGCTAACTGCGTCGACTGAGAGGTCCTGGGTTAGAGCCCTCTTTCCTTCCTGTTTCGTGACTTTTGCTCATCCCTTACACATACACACAGTACACGAAGTACACAGTTGGGAGGTTCGGGAGGTACCAGTTGTACCGTTTGGAGTACAGTCCCGCTGGTGGGAGATACCTGAATCGGAAAAACCCTACAAGCCGACTTGTAGGTTGACGCCGGATATCACCATCCAGCTGATAAAGAACACCACCGCCTCCCTCCAACATGCACTACACTTACGAGAGTAATAGCCACAACAGTTGACGAGCCCAGAAAAACGAATTTATAAAAATATAAATTAAAAAGCTATTTGTAATACTGTGTGAGCATGCGTTCAGTTTGCACGAGAAGTCTGTGCCCTCGACGTCCGTTAAGGTCCGGGTGAACGTTCGCACTTTAACGGTCGTCGCCTGCACAGGCGTCTGTCCTGTCGCGGGCACGAGAGTGGCAGGGGGCTGTGTTCCAGAAGCTTCGGCGCCAAGTGCGCCAAGTGCTGCCGGGGCATCGCGGCGAGCGACTGGGTGCGCAAGGCGCGCGACCACGTCTACCACCTGGCGTGCTTCGCGTGCGACGCGTGCAAGCGCCAGCTCAGCACGGGCGAGGAGTTCGCGCTGCACGACGAGCGGGTGCTCTGCAAGACGCACTACCTGGAGATCCTCGACGGCGGATCCACCTCCTCCGACGGTGAGCCCTTCGCCCTTCCCTTGCCCTTGCCCTTGCGAGAGGACCCACATATGAGAGATTACTGTAAGAGGGGACCGCTTTGACAGCTACTGCTTGCCCACAGCTGGCAATGTAGCTGTATGTTACGTCCATGCACTCATTTTCTCAATGCTTTCGTATACAGTTAGCTCAATTGTAAATGGCTTCACCATTATCTACTGCAATGCCATCACTCTGACTATCGTTCATTTGTTTCCCGACCTGACAAACTGGTTCCTTCTTAGAGTAACTTTTCTATACAGAGGGTAGCGCATCCCTGTAGGCGGCCCCGTCAGGCAGTGTAAGGGAGTTGAGGAAAACCAAAACAGTTGAATCTTGTACTACAGAAACCAATAAAGCGCCAAGTTTACCAATTTCGGGGGAAAAACCGTTTAACATCAGACATATTTTTGGTACGGGTGCCAATTTTTTGCTACATCTAGTGTACATTTCAATAATTTATATTCAAGAAAAAAATTACATATACCCTTTCAGAAAGATATTCTATTTTTAACTCATTTTTGGCGCTTGACTGGATTCGGAAATAAACGAATCAATGAAGACATTACAGAGATTTTCAAGTAAATTAATATTGTTTTTAAGTAGATTGATGGTTCTCAACGGTTCGGACGTCCTGGTTGGGTATAAAGTGGTGAAATTGACGGACAAGGGAATGCGCAACTCTCTGTATCTAGGGAATTTACCGCTTAATCATTTCTACAAAGCACATTTTCGTTCGTAAAGTAAGGATCGCTAATTTCTATACTGAAATCCACAAAACTGTAAATTTGAAGTCAGATCTCCAAAATTAATTTTTTCTACGTATGGTCGAATTTTTATGTTATATTTTCTTCTTCCTTTAACTATTTTTGTTATTTTCACAGGATCGATGAAATCATGTATGGCATATGCCGGGGTCAAAATTGATGATATCTAATGTTTATCATAGTATTCGGAAAATAACAAAAAGTTTCCATCACACATTGATCTAGAACAGTGCATTCAAATCATTTTATTGTTTATGGTTTTACCTTAATGAAAACGCAAAAAAAGTATTATTTTCGTTTTTCAAAAACCTATTCCAAATATTGCTCATGTCATCATATAAAAGTACGAATATCGAGATCTCGGAAATATTGTAGAACTAAGAAAATCTCAAAAAGTCCCAAAAAATGTTATTATTATTTACAACCATATTATGAAAACGAAAAATTGAAAAAGTAAAGAAAAACAATGTTTTCGCGTTTCCTAAACACTGAAGAAAGATTTCATCGCCTCTTCTTAAGATTTTCTTAATTTTGAAATTGACCCTAGATTTTATACGCTTGCTTGACTTGATGTGTTCAGAATAAATGCCTGCTTTTCGATTTTCTTTTTTCGATTTTCGATTTTCTTCTGGATGAGAATTTTTAAACAACATTCACAAACCAATTCAGCCAATCTACACTGTGTAAAACATTGGTTTTTTCTAGAGGAAGTGTAATGGCAATACACCCTTCAAAATGATAATACCAAATGTACAGTGATCTAGATGAATTGCGCAGAAGATAACATCTCTCTGTCCACACACTAACATTTCAACTGACGGCTGTGGCACCTACGTAACTCTTGGAATATCACCGGTTTTTTACAGATATCACTACATCTTTCAATTGCTCTTTGTCTAATTGTTTACACTGTGATGTATGTAAATAAAAATATACGTATCGAAACGATGTTCCAAATTTCACATAGAAACTTCTCAACAGATGATATTTGAAACCTTATAACTTTAAAATATTATGAATGCTACGATCAGAAACAACAAGACAAATTCAAAAAACTTTCGTATCAAAATAGTGCTTACTTCTTGAACTAGTAATTACGTGTTTCATCGCGACTGCGATTCTTCTCGCGACTTTCAAAGCTGCAAAGTGTAGTAAGTAGTAACTTTGGTACAATTCATCCAGATGGAGAACTTTATACTCTTCCCAGTGCACCGCCATGAAAACGAACCCCTTGCAACCTTTACAGAGAATTGGCATGCCTACGAGGGTTAGAATACGGTAGGCGATATTACAATATTTTTTGTCCTCCCTACTTCGGTACGTATCTTTCTTTATGAATCGTACAAATGTAATATTTACGTAATTTTACAGTAAAACTTTTCAAAGCTTATACATGAAACCGTAATTTTGGATGAAGTTAGTATAGTAGAACCCCAGTATTTCCAACTAATTGGGGGTGTGGTCTGATCGGATTCGGAAATGTTTGTATTATCCGAAAAAATGTTCCGTGCATATACAAATACATCTATAGGATTACCAGACAACACAGCGTAGCGCGCGATGTGAGGCAATGGTAACGTAACGTAGAGATCACATCGCATCGCATCGTCAAAATGATTCAGTTCCTCCGGCAAAAGAAGATTACCGAATTTTACAAGTACCTCGAAGTGAAAATTACTGCTACATAAGCATGTGATATATATCGTAGTTACCAGTGCAATAAACGTTTTATTTCGACATTTGTGTTTCAATGATTAATTGTTCAGTTGTACAGTAATTATAAAATTCTTTCTTTACAGTTCAACTAAGTATTTTATTTATTTAGATTATTTTTTTCTACATCCCGAATTTTGTTAGGATTATCCAAAATTTCGGATTTTTGAGGTTTGGATTAGCGAGATTCAACTGTATTCAAATACATCACAAAATGTTCACATTTTGTGGAAACGCGTGTTGATTATACGTATTCAAACAATGCAATTTTGGACGTCTGACTATTAAAGTTTTAGTTTACTGTCACCTACTAGAAAATTTACAGATCTCTCTCCATGAAAGAATTTGTTTACTTAAATCACCTACCAAACATTCTTAACTTTATGAGGCTCACAGAAAAGGAATTTGAACTCTTGACTCATGAATTTATAATCTATACTTCTAGAACCTAATAGTTTAAGCAAATATGATAGTTCTGCAAAATGTATTGCTGCAGTATCAATATTCGGAGTGAATTGCCAAAGTGAAATAATCATCAACCTATATTAATATTTTCTTTAAAAAAAACATAATTTACCTATATGTCACTACTTACCCCCGCAGTGGAAACCCAGTGGTCACCCAGTGGGCACCCAGTGGGCACCCAGTAGGCACCCAGTGGGCACCCAGTGGGCACCCAGTGGGCACCCAGTGGGCACCCAGTGGACACTCAGTGGGCATCCAGTGGGCACCCAGTAGACACCTAGTGGGCACCCAGTGGGCACCCAGTGGGCACCCAGTGGGCACCCAGTGGGCACCCAGTGGTCACCCAGTGGTCACCCAGTGGGCACTCTGTGGGCACCCAGTGGGCACCCAGTGGGCACTCTGTGGGCATCCAGTGGGCTCCCAGTAGAAACCTAGTGGGCGCCCAGTGGGCACCTCGTGGTGGTGAGACACACGGGGCTGTGCGCAGGGGGCGCGGAGCTTCTGCCGGTCGTGCACACGCAGGTGGTCGGTGGCTCCGAGCGCACTGCAGGGGTCGGGCTATCGTCGAACTTGCATTCTGCCACGCCCGCCGTCTAGGTAGATCCGACGGCAAGTCTCATTCGACAATGGAACATTCTCACGCCGCAACATTGTATTATGTCCTATATTTAAACACAAAAATAGTTTTTTTTAAATTGCACTGGTTGTGTGGTATGACTTATGTAGAACATTATTATTTGGAAAGTATCAGTGAGTTATACAAAATTTTAAGGGCTGAGCTTATATGTTGGAAAGCAATGATCTAGTTTCGTTAACTAATGCAATGTAAATAAAAATAAAATAAATATACAATATTCACGAATAAAATAAATAATATAATGTGTTTGAATTTCGTAGTTGTAATTATACTAACCTGTGTAGAACATAAAGGGAACTTACAGAATGACAAAGAACATGTTGGCAGAATGCCCGACTCATCAGCCGACTTCGTTTCGTTCCGGGCTGTTCGGCCCCTACACAGGAACGCGCTAAAAATGGTGGCGTGAAAGGAATTTGCGCTCATTTGGTCTTGCTCGTAAAGCAAATGCGCTTTGCTACTTTTGTACATGTTCAATAATGAGCGCCCAAACATTAGCGTTCGATACCTGTATTTGAGCTAGATATGACTGTGAAATTTGATCTTTAACTTTTTCGTCGAATTTCCATGATGATGTCTGCGTTTAAGAACGGTTTGAAATCATTTTTAACGCGTCGATGTTTTTGAAAGCTCGGATAATGGTTCTCTTCGTTAACAGAGTTTGGAATATTGCAAACTATATTGATTCGCGAGCAGAATCACCTAGTGCCTTCAACAGAGACTCAGTTTGTTCTTCATTGTCGACTGTACCACGATCATGATCTTCTAACGCCCTCTCGCCACTCCTTGCTAAATTAACATTTCACAGATGGTATGAGAGTGACCATCCTACACGCCTTTAAAGTTACTTGATGTGTCGTGTACCACTCATATCAACTCGCTCGATAAATTCGCTAACAATTCTACGAGTATAGTATAAATTATGAAAAATATGAAAAATTTAGACTGGAAGGTAGTGGTCACAGTGGAGCCTACTTTGGCCGAAAGTTCGGTCTTCCGACGTTTTCGTCCGATGTAGCTGATGGATCAATCATGCGCTAGTGAACAGAAATGGTCATAGTGAAGCCCCTTCCCACGGCGTCCGTATAAGGCATATATCGGACGAGAATCTGATTCGTTTGGTTCTGACGGTTCCATTGTACCAAAATCAGCTGGAGTGTCAAGACCTTCTGTAATAAATTATGTGGATGGTCTTAAATGTACTTGTCGAAATTGTTTCAATAAATGCGCTGAGGAATTTTGGGAATATTCGAACGATTTCTAGTGAACATTCTTGTGTATTTCGAATGAAATAATTTTGATAATTTTGCCCGCAGTTAACTGGTAGCGAACGACCGATATTTCGGTTGCACAGTGTCCTTACTCTAAACGTTTATTGTGAGTAGGTGAGTGAATCACATTCTTAATTAAATTTTTCAAGCAACATCCGCTTAAAGACTTTGTTATTTCAAACACGCTGAGTCTTTAAAACATTCAGCAAACTCTCATTTTTAAAACATTATGGATATTAGGACTCTTAGTAATAAATCCTGAAATTCACTTAACTTATGAAAGAAAATGGCAGGATTTAACGAACAGCTCTAAAAAGACAAAAGTATGAACTCTAAAAAATGTATTCAAATGTGGAGTAGTTAATTATTATTACATTGATTATTGTTGGCTCCTCACCCACGCACAAGCCTTGTCTTCTTCGAGATTGAACTACTTTAAACTAAGAACAAGAGGGGGAAATAAAATATGAGATTCGTCTCGTGTGTTTGATTGTATGAAATATTATTTATTTCTCAGAAGTTATGAAATGTCTTTCTGTAACATATTTCAGCAATTTGCTACAGTATTCAGAATCAAAATACATTAGCATTTTATTTAGTTTTTTTTATTTCACTTTTAAGCAACTTGTCTTCATCCCAAATTTACAGTCATACTTTACAAAAGTATTTGTATCCTTGCAATTAAGGCAATACCAATGACCAGTTCATATTATTTGAGATGTATCTGTGGGCTATCATTATATCTTCTAATAAGTTTTCTTCTTTCAGAGTTGCGTTCACCTTGACGTAATGTGAACAACCTGAACCCATTTTCGAATTTCAGTTTACTGTACAACGATTCGGCATCTCACTGATATGTGAGAAGAAGTCCCTTATTGACAATACTAGCGTCTCGGACGACTGGACATAAAATGGCGGAAGCATCCTACGGAAGGCGCGAGGTGCTGCACTACTCGGTGTGTCGAGGGACTCGGCTCCGGCTGCGAGCACTGCGCTGCGCAGTGTCGGGAATTCGAATCAGCTGCTCTTGTTTTGACCCTTTCGAGCGTTTTACAGCGTAAGTTAGCGTGTTGAACATTTTCTGTAGCATACTTAACGTACTGGGAATGTATGTGTCGGGTTGATATTTGCAAAATAAAATTTTTGTTTACACTGTAAGGCACGTGCGAGACTTTGATTAACGTCGCGCCCCCGGTAATTCGTAGTGTTTTAGGAAGCAAAGGTAAATGTACATACGAAATTTCCTTCTCAGTCTTACTTTAGTCTTACTTTTTGAGAAAATGTAACCCCTGTTTTTTTTTAAAGAGATATTCTTATTTAGGACAAACTGAAATATAAGGGCAAATTAAAAATTTATCGAAGAGCTGTCTTAATCTCAATTCATCCTAGCTATTGATTAATTTTTGTTTTGACTTTCTTGAATACGTGTTATAGAGGAAGTTATATAATACTACAAATTATTTATGTTGATATATTTACGGGAATACACATTTTAAGAATCCCTGAAACTGGAAGTGTTTTCTTTTTAAAGATCTGTCCATTCATGTCTGTGTGTCTGTGGATATCTCTAGCGTCTAAACAAATCTCAAAATTTTCTCTAAAGTAAATATTCCCGGATCTGGTCATAAATGCCCCGATTTGTCATAAGGCGCCTATGACAATTGTAAGTTTTCTTATAAATAGCTCTTTTCAACTTTTTTCCGAATAGAGCAAAGTATTCTTATAAAAATGGGGCAGGCCCGAGTTTCTGTAAAACCACTCACATTTGGAAAAGTTCAAAATTTTAAGAGATTTTCCTCCTGCAATTGTATTACTACATATGATATTATTTTCTTAAAGCTCTCTAATTCCTCAATATTATATCTTTATAGCAGACTTTTCTAAAACATTAGCAGTAATTGCGTAATTCTGATTTATATTAATATTGAAGCTAAATATTTCTTTCTTGGTGATATTTATTTCGTAGTATTAGATCTTTAAATTACTTTTTGTATAGTTATTTCAAAATATTGCCTTTGCGTAACTTTAAATTTAATTGTCTGATGATACATTTGAGTGATAGCAGAAGTGTTGGTAGGGTTGAAGGTGGAATGCTATAATATAACGTAAACCTTATCAATAAAACGAGAGAGTAAGTACTGTTGCCGTATCACTCGTTTATTTTGATTTTAATATGCTATAAATACTACATAATTTGCTGAACATGATACACTGCTAAGGTAGAAGGATTTTGTAGGATAGATGTTGCAGTTCCATGAAAAATTGAGGTGAACTTCGTGAAACTTGCATCACTTAATGAACTCACAGGCAAGATATACAAGCAGAGGAACAATACTAAATAGAATTTAATGAGATATGCACGAGTAACAAGGACAAACAATTGAAATTACTAAGTCGAAAACGAACTTTACCCCCACAAGTGTTTAAACATTCAATCGCTATTCTTCACTAATTTCTGCATTAAAATTCTTCGACCCTTGAAGATGGTACTAGATGATGAGCTCCAAAAGCAGTCAAGACGAGAGGGAATGGGTAGGTAGTAAGGGAGTCAAACAGCGAGAATGAGTTGGCGAGGTGTGTGTGTTTGTGTTGGGGAGGAAGTGGAACGAAGGGCGAGAGGTGCAGGGGCGAGAGATGCGTGAAGTGAGTGATACGAAAAGCGAGAGATGGGTTTAATGAGAAAGGTGGAGAGCAGAGGTGCGGAGAGCGAGAAGTATTGGGAGCGAGAGATGCGGGAAGCGGTGGTTACGGGGAAGGCGAGACGAGCGGGGAGCGAGGGAGGAAAGGGTGGGGAATGGCAGGGACGGGGAACGCTTGATGCGCGGTGTGAGAAATGCAGGGAGCGAGAGGTGCGGGAAGCGAGAAGTACGGGATGCTCTAGGTGCAGTGGGCGAAAGATGCGGGCAGCGATAGAAGCGTCGAGCTGAAGAGGCATGGTGCGGCGGACGCGAGGAGTGGAAGAGCCGACGAGCGCTAGTTGAGAGAGAGCGAGTGCTGCGGGGAGTGGAAGAGCTGGCAAGCGAAGGAGGCGGCGAGCGAGTCGGAGGTGCAGGCAGAGGGGGACGCGAGAAGCGAGAGACACGCAAAGAGGGAGATGCGTGTGCGCGGAGGAAGCGGCGCCGCCGACGTGGGG